CTATCCTGGCTTTAATTCATCAAAAAAAAATATATTTAAAACTCTTTCCTTTCTCTCAGGAGACTGGGGAGGCTCCACCTCCCTTGCCTCTAGTGACTGCACGTCCCTGGGTAAACATTTGAGTTAAGATATTTGAATAAATATGAATTAAGGGAAGAGATGCACAAAAACTTGTAAACAGCTGATATACTTTTATTATAACATATACTTGTTGTGTTTTTTTGGGGTTTTTTCTCTGTTTTGTTTTTTGTTCTTTTTTGTTTGGACTTTTTTCCCCCCTACTGTAGTGGGTATGTGTTGTTTATGTAACAAAAAAATTAAAAAAAATTATTAAAAAAAGAAGAAGAAAGGAATTGACAGAAGCATGGAAGTTAGGCAAATATTTCTACCACAGAAGTGAGGGGAGGGGTAAGGAGGGGAACCTTTTTTTAGAGCAGCAAGGATGCCCTCGGGAAAAGAGCTTTATCTGCCTTTTACACTCCTCCAAGCCCTTGGCCTCCTCCCTCTCTTGTAAAGAGGAGAAAAAGAATCTGCACGTGCTCAGAAACCATTTTCTGTTATTGCAACTCTGTAGGAGGTTGAGAAAAAAAAATCAGGAAAAGTGTGGAAGACATTAAGCGAAGCAGCGCTGATCTTCATTTCAACCTTTAAAGGCATTTTTTTCAAGGCTTTTACAGCCCTCTTGTTTGATATTGGTTAAGCAGAACTGCTGTGAAAGTTTTCCTCTCTTGAAACAGGTGTCTCAGGATACAGCAGAGGAAACACTATTCACACAATACAAGGAAGAAGGGATGGGCACTTTTGAAAATGAAAGTGCTTTTATCTAGGGCCTGTGAAGGGCAAAGCTTTATCCATCTGTTTACAAATTCAGGACAAATTTACTTTCAGACTCCCATTTTTTGCCACAAAAAGGTAAGGTTGCCATCCTAAGTGCTTAAATATAGGAAGGTTGAATTTCGTGTAACACGTGTGTGTGTTTGAGGGAGGGGGGAGACTGGGCAGTCAATGCTTTGCAAAAATATAAGGCCTTTCAGGAAGACTTTACAGCATAATTTGTATAGGGAGGAAACGTCTCCGGGAAAGAAGGGGGCCCTGCGTCTGAGCTTGGAAAGGGTTTGGCAATAGAGGGATCCTTATTTCCACCATCAGCCTATAAGCATAAGAGATTTTTTTTTTCCTACGTTTTGCTTGGAGGTCATCAAGATCTGGCTCCTCATACAAGGTGTGTATACCTGATACTGGGATGAAATTCCTATGATTTCATATTTACAAACTTTAAGTGAGCTGAAATGCTGTGTAGAGCTCAACCTGCCTGTGCTTTTAATGTTTAATCACATGCTTCAGGAGGAGAGATGAAGAAGGCTGGGGCATTAGTATAGCAGGAAATGTGCCCTCTGGGGAAGAAAGAAAAAGGTCTTGCCTGTCAGGCGTGCACAGCACTATGAGCCAGATGCAGAGGGTGGGAACCCCAGCCTGGTTTGATCTGTGGGGCTTCTGTTTGTTTTTGAACAGCCTTTGAAGTACTTCTGTTCCTAACCTTAGCAGACAAATAGAGATCAGGAAGGGCGGTGGCTAGGTTATGGCCAAGGCTAATGGGTGAACTGAATGGAAAGGGTAACATAGATCAGGCCAAATGTGATATGTCAGATCTTGTCTGTTGAATCTGAGTCTGCTTAACAAAGTACAGCATGTTGGAGCTGCCAAGTTGGGAAAGTGGCTGGGGGTGGGGGGTGGAGTTGAAGACACTCCCCACACCATTTAGCCTCAAGAGAAAGTTGTAGGGAAGGAGAGAGGTTTGTCTTGTGCACTGCTCCTGATTGTTGTAGAGCTACCAAGGGAGAAACTGATGTGGACTGGAGTTTGTTGTGGTCCATCACGGGCTCTCATTAGAGTCTCTGCAAGAAGGGTTGGAATAAGAATGCTGGAAGTTTGGATCTGCTATCGTCGGGAGACTATTCTTTGCCTATCCTGACCTCCTCGGAAGCATCTAAAGGGGGGGGGGGTTTGCAGTGAGGATAGTAAACTGGTTTCTCATTGACTAAAAACAAGACTTTAAAAAAATCCGAACCCCAAAATATTTCTAAAGGGGTTCTCCAGAACAGCATTTTTTTGTCTCTATATTTGTTCATATATTTAGGAATGTGTGGCAGTGGCACCCTCCACTGAAATTGTTAAATGGTACAGTATATAGGAGATACCACAAAATCCTGTTCAGCAATAAAAGAACACAATATAATAAAATTTAGTATATATTCTAAAAGTGAAGTTAATCATATAGTAGAATAGCAATAATTCCATTCATGCCACCAGAAATCCCACAACAGTGCAGTCTCAAAGGCCTTCTGGAACAGTCATAGACCAGAGGCTATGAGAGTGGATGCCTCTTGTTCTGCAGTGGGATCTTCTCATAGAGAATATCTGTTTTCAAGGCTCCCCCTCCCATTGCAATTCGTGAATGGGTGGGAGCCTTCTTAGCCACTTTCTGTGCTCTTGAATTGGGTAGGCAACAAATCTCAAGAGTCTATTTCAGTTCTCAATTAAACATCTATGTTACATTTTGCAAGAACTAATCAAGAATACTACTTTTTGGAAATATAGAGTCAGAGTACAACAATTTCTTTATTTAAAATGTATGGCTGCAATCTCTCTCTTTCTGAATGAGAACCTGTTCAAAAAAAGTCATTGTGTGCATTTGGTTTTATAGATTAATTTGTTTTAGCTTCCAGAATTTTTTTGTCGCTTAATTATATGTTCTAGCAGACCAAGGAGAGGTGCCTTCTGGAAAAGAGACTCACAATAAGAGGACAACATTGTTGAATAGCTTTCTGATTTGAAGGCCTGATTTATAATTAAGAGTGTATTTCCTCTTTGGTCTTTTAAGAGAAGAAAATGACTAATTTCAATGAGAAACTGGGATAAAAAATTAATCTTGAAATAAAAAATAGACCCGGGCTTACTAAATCTGTGGGAAAAGACCTACTATTTACTCCAGAAGAGGAAGAGAAAGTAGAGTCGACTAGGAAGGAAGCTCAGTGGTCCATCCCGTGATGGTGTTCTGCAAAAGAAGGAAGCTCTTGTGGGCTGGGCCTCTCTCTTAATCAGCTGGCATTCTCTCTAGGCTTTGGGGAAGCCATTCCCCTGAATGCATAGGCAGCAGTTTTGAGACAAACTTCCCCAAAACTTTGCTGTACTCACACTTGACATTTTCTATAAAATATTAATTTCTCTAATTTTAATTTTAGGTCAGATATAATCTATTATAACTGACATGAACAACACTGTGAGAGAAGAGCTTTACAAAACATTGTGTGACCTCCTTGAGAAGCAATTTAAGGATTTTAAATGGTGGCTAAAGGGTATTGACTACAATGAAAAGCCAAACATTGTTACAGCTTCTTTGGAGAAAGCTAATCAGCAAGAAGTTGTAGATCTCCTGATTCACTATTATGGAGAAGACGCTCCAAAGGTGTGCATTCGTGTCCTTCAAAAAAGCAACATAAATGATGTTGCTAGAAAACTTGAGGAAACTTTACAGAAAGGTAAGAAACTTGAACATATTACAGAAAAGTTCTCCCATGTAAGATCAACTAGAAATAAACACCAATTGTGATCTGGGAAACTGTCTCCACCGAATTGTGTCAATATTCATTGATATTGACTAGGCTTGACAGTGGCTCCCTGGAATTTTAGAGAAGAACTTCTAGCTTTTCCTTCTAATCTTGGACCTGAAATCAAACCTAAGGGAAGCATCTGCTCTGTCACTCAATTTGACACTTTCCTATCACTGAAAAAGAAAAGAAAAACCAACTTCAACAAAACAGTTCATTGATCTAAATTTAAAGGAGATTCTTAAAGGTTTTATTTATTTATCAAATTATTAAAACTGTTCCTCTCCCTAAAAAATAGACTTGATATAATATACAAGTAAAAAAATATAAAAACATAAAAATCTGATAGATAACATTTACAATTTAAAAAGGCAAGAATTATTAAAAATCAATTAAAAGACTTTCAGGGTGCTAACTCTCTCTATAGTGGCATGCTCTTCTGTGTGCCCCAAGGAAGGCCTCAGAGTCGTGTTTTTATACTTTTCCGATGGACCAGGGGAGGGGAGCCTGCCTCACATTGGGAAAAGAATGTTCCTCATGGAAGGAACAATGGCAGAGAACTGATGGGGTCCACAGCATACCTTACCTGCCTGAGAGGATGGGATGTCCTGAATTAATGGGATTAAGATGGTTCTGAAAGTAGCTTGGCCCCATGCCATGTAGGGCTTTAAAGGTATAACCAATACTTTGAATTGGACCCAGAAGTAGACTGGCATCCTATGAAACTCATGCAGCAAAGGTGTTGCACGTGCTATTCTTTGAGCAGTCAAGATTGCCTGTGAGGCCATACTTTGTACCAGTGAAGCAGCTACCCATTCAAGAGTCACCCCGTGTAGAGCCACATTGTTCAAATGGCAGATGACCAGGGCATGAGTGACCAAATGGCGATCCTCCCTATCCAAGAAAGGGCATAACTGGTGCACAGTATGCAGTTCAGCAAAGGTTCACCTAGTTGAAGCTGCTATTCTTTGAGCAGGAGCTGTGAATATAGGAGGACCCCCAGATTATGCATGATTTTTGTCTGGGGAAGTACAGCCCTATTGAAGACCAAAGATGCTAAACTCCTGAATGCAGAGGGGCTCAACCACAGCCACTTTGTCTTATCAAGGTTCATTTTAAGTTGTTCCCCATTCAGGCCTCCACAGTCTCCAGGTACTGTGAGAGAATATTCATAGCATCTGTCACTTCCCCTGGGAGGGAGATATATAACTGAGGTATCACACACATACTAATGATATCTCATCTCAAGCAATAGATGATGGCGGTTTCATGTACATCAATATAGATCATGTAGATGTTAAAAAGTATGGGAGAAAGCACTGAGTCCTGCAACAACCCTCAAAAGAGGGCTGTGAGCTAGAATTCTCACTCCCCATCAACACTAATTGGGACCAGCCTTAGAGGAAGGAGGCAAACCAGCACAGAACACTCACCTCCAACTCCCTAAATTAGCCCAAAGTGATACCATGGTAACAAAAACAACTAAGAGGTCAGGAAAAGCAAGGATGGATGCATTATGTCCATTCCTATTCTACCAGATGTCATTCATGACTATGACCAATGCTGTTTATGTATGTGGGCTTCAAAGTGAAAAGGGTAGAATAATCCATTTGCTCCAGGATAGTCTGAGGTTGCAATGCCACCACCTTCTCAACCATCCTCCCTAAGAAGGAAAGTTGCAAGACTGGATGGAAAGCATCCAATAAAGAATAGAATGTTTGTAGTTAAACTCTGACATGTGGGATCCTTGGTGTTCTCCCAGATTGTTTTCTTACAAAACAAAAAAGTCAAGAAAAGAATTGATTCATTGCTGGGAGAAAGTGACAAGAAGGTGACAAGCATCAGGGAGAAAGCAGAACTACTTAACTCATTTTTTGCATCTGTCTTTACACAAAGGGGAAAAAAACAGTCCAACCTATCAAAAACAGCACCATTAAAAACAGATTAGAAACACGTTAAAATAGAGAATAAAATGGTAAGTGAGTACATGTCTACCCTTGATGAGTTCAAATAACCAGGACCAGATGGATTACACCCCAGGGTTCTGAAGGAATTGGCAGACGAGATCTCAGAACTACTGAACTATATCTTTCAAAGATCCTAGAGCACCGGGGAACTGCCAGACGACTGGAAAAGAGCTGATGTAGTTCCCATCTTCAAAAAATGGAAAAAAATAGATCCAGGAAACTACAGACCTATCAGCCTGACCTCAATACCAGGGAAGTTTCTGGAAAAGATAATCAAGCAATGAATCAGTGAACACCTAGAAGCAAACAAAGTAATAACCAAAAGCCAACATGAGTTTGTCAAAAACAGATCATGCCAAACTAATCTTATTGCATTCTTTGATAAAGTGATAAAATTAGTGGACCAGAGGAATATGGTTGATATAATTTACTTGGACTTAGTAAGGCATTTGATAAAGTAGACCATAGCCTACTACTAGATAAAGTAGAAAAATGTGGGTTAGACAGCATCACCACCAGAAGGATCATACCTGGCTGACCAAACACACTCAACGTGTAGTCCTCAATGGAGTTGCATCTACATGGAGGGAGGTATGCAGTGGAGTACCCCAAGGCTCTGTTTTAGACTCAGTATTCTTCAACATCAATGACTTGAACAAGGGGATAGATGGGGAACTCATCAAATTTGCAGATGACATCAAGCTGGCAGGAGTAGCTAACACTCCAGAAGATAGGCTAAAGATACAGAAGAAACTTGACAAACCTAAACATTGGGCACTATCTAATAGAATGAAATTAGTGAAAAAAGTAAGGTTTCACATTTAGGCAAGAAAAACAAAATGCACAGGTACAGTATATGGGATACCTTGCTCAATAGTAGTAACTGTGAGATGGATCTTGGAGTCCTAGTGGACAACCATTTAAATATGAGCCAGCAGCGTGCCAACACAGTTCTAGGCTGCATAAACAGAGGGATAGAATCAAGAACCCATGAAGTGTTAATACCACAATATAATGCCTTGATAAGGCCACACTTGGAATACTGCGTTCAGTTTTGGTCACCACGATGTAAAAAATATATTGAGACTCTAGAAAAATGCAGAGAAGAGTAACAAAGATGATTAGGGGACTGGAGGCTAAAACATATGAGGAACAGTTGCAGGAACTGGGTATGTCTAGTTTAATGAAAAGAAGGACTAAGAGAGACACAATAGCAGTGTTCCAATATCTCAAGGGTTGCCACAAAGAATATGGAGTGAAACTATTCTCCAAAGCTCCTGAGAGTAAAACAAGAAGCAATGGGTGGAAACTAATCAAGGAGAGAAGCAACTTAGAACTAGGGAGAAATTTCCTGACAGTTAGAACAATCAAGCAGTGGAACAACTTGCCTCCAGAAGTTTTAGATGTTCCAGCACTGGAAGTTTTTAAGACGAGATTGGATAACCATTTGCCTGAAGTGGTATAGGGTTTCCTGCCTAAGCAGGGGGCTGGACTAGAAGACCTCCAAGGTCTCTTCCAACTCATTCTATTCTGTAATATCCTATCCTATCCTAAACTTGCAAATATTTTATTACCCAAACTAGGTAACATAATCAGTACTAGTCAGTGTCCAGATCAATGGGATCTATGAATGGCTTCATGAGGAGGTGATGCATCAGAAAATCTTTAAAAGATGCCAAGAACATTCTGTGCATCAGGGATGAATTCACCATCACTTGCACCCATTAATTTGCTGGAGGCAGATTAGTCAAATGGGTGAAGCCTCTGTGTAGAGGCGATAGTTGAACCTGAAAGTTACCAGGTCATGAGACGACCATGATTTAGACCATTCATGTTTCCTGATCTGATACAGTATTATAATATATTACAGGTGGTGATGCTTTGTTGCTGTTAAGGAAGAGAGCAGGGTATGTAATGCTTGGTGGAGCCAGAAAAGAATGATAGCATTTGTAGCTACTAAGATTGTTGCATGAGCAGGGACAAAAACAGCCAGGGAGGTGATTGATTGGTAAAAGAGCCCCTCATCAGTCAATATGAATGCAGATTTAGCACCAGCTTATCAAATACTTAGGAGGTGAGACCTTGGCAGCACAAGCAAACAGCCAACCACTTAATAGCCAGCCATCAGCACCCCAATCAATATCTAAATAGCTACATACAATAGACACCATATAAATAACACAGAATGGCCAGAACATGCAGTCTGCTGGAGTAAAGTTCCCTGAAGATGGGCTGCAGCTTGTAAAACAAAACTTCTGGTTCTGGTGACTGACCCAGATTGAATCCAAAGACAGCATTCTGTGACAGGAGCTCCAGGTTGAAATGAAATGAAAGATGACTTGGGAAAGGATAGTCGCCAAATATCTAGAAACCCCTGAATACATTTCTATACTGAAGATCCAAAAACTGGGAGCTAAGAAGTATCCCAGAACCATTCTTAATCACAAGGAGAAATCCCATTTATGACTTGATGCATCCTGAAGATCTGCTTTAGTTTGCCTGACTTTTTCTCGGATGGCTTCCTGGGCGAGGCTTACTGATGGAAGCAGCTTAACATAGAAACATCAGCATTCTTAAACAACCCACCCATCCTCAAAGAGTTGCCCAAAGATCTAGGGGGTCTATAATTCCATTAAATTACTTAGGCTAGAGAAGAAAAGACTACCAAGATTGAATGGCTGACACGGCATCATTGAAACCCAATTTACATTCAGCTGAAATACAGTGAAGAGTTCACTTGGCTTCTAAAAAGAAGAAACTTACAGACAATTGGAAAGACACAAAACAACTGGTATCCTAGTTAGGGGTTTTGCTTTGATAAAAATGATATGCAAAACTGCTCACATTTAAGATACTTGGAAAATAAATTGTGTAATGTTATGATACACCACCCAACACCTCAAAGTGCCCACCTTTGGGCATGCAAGGTGTTCTACCTTCAACTTTCACATATTAAAAACAAACCAGGATTGAAAAGCAGATATGAAGATGATGAAAGGTGGGGACTTTAAGCAGATGCCAGCAGGATGAAAAATGCTGCCAAACCAGTGGTGGAACTTTGAAGAGCCCTGGAGGAAATGATTACCTAGATCCTTTCCCATCATGTTTTAGGTTGGGATCTAGCACTGAGATGGCCTAGAGCAGAGGTGGCATTTAGCCGGTTCTGACCAGTTCTGGTGAACAGGTAGCGGAAGTTTTGAGTAGTTTGGAGAACCAGAAAATACCACCTCTGGCTGTCCCCGCCCCCAGTCTATTCACTGCCTCCTGAGTCCCAGCTGCTTGGCTGGGTCTTTTTTTGTTGCCTTGCACAGGAGAACTGAGCCGGAAAGCAGGTTAATGGGGTGGAGAGGGAAGGGGAATTTTGCAGTATCCTTCCCCTAGCATGGGGTGGATATGGAGATTTTGCAGTATCCTTCCCCTGGAGTGGAGTGGGAATGGGGATTTTGCAGTATCCTTCCCCTGCCATGCCCACTAAGCCACACTCACCAAGCCATGTCACACCCATCAAGTCATGCCCACAGTACTGGTAGTGAAACATTTTGAATCCCACCACTAGTCTAGAGGACTAATAGATGTCTTCTAATGGGAGTGAGAAATTGACTTCTGTCCTAACCCTCCTTGACCTCTGGATGGCCTTTTATATCAGTGATTTTGATATCCTTTTGGAATGTTTTAGTGGAAGGAGTGGTTTAATAGTAGTTCTCGCTCTTCCAAAAAGAAATGTATAGAAATGCATAGGAACTGTAAGATAAGAAATCTAATATACATTGTAAATATAGACACAGTTGCTGTTTAACTCTATAACCCATGTATTTACCTGTTTTTTTAAAAAATGCTCTGAATTTACCTATTTTTATAATTTGTATTTCATTAATTCAGTCCATCTTCATTTGTAGATGTTGATGCTCACCAATTGCCAGATTCATCAGGTAAGTGATTCTGTTCATGTTTAAAGCTAATTCAGCATGATCAGATCCTTCCCTCTCCCTCCCCATTATGTAAGAAGCTGTTGTGAATATTAATCCCACCCAAAATCCTTATGGGGAAAGCTGCAGAGTAGTTCTTGCAGTGTTGGTCATAAAAAAAGAAGGGAGGGAGGTCCCCATACGTGCTTTTCTTTTTCTTATATTCAATTTGTTTTTTTTAAAAAAGCAATTTTATTTTTAAACAAACAAGTACAGACAAACATAAAACATAAAAACATCTTCCAATTCCATACAGTGTGTNTGGAAACACCCTTGACAGGCTATCAGCCATTGGGATTTCCTTTCCAGGCTTATACTTCACTGTGAGATCATACTGCTGTAATTTCATAATCATTCGCTGCAAACATGAGAAGCTAGTGGTTTTCGTAGTATGTACTCCAACGGTTTGTGGTTGGTTTCCACAACTACTGGGTGAGCATATATGTACTGGTGAAATTTCTCACATCCATTCACAATGGCCAGCACCTCTTTCTCAATTTGAGCATAATTGGTTTGTGTCATGGTCAGTGCACATGAAACATATGCCACAGGATGTCCTTGTTGAGTCAGCACAGCACTAACCCAAACTGGGATGCATCCACTTGAAGCACAGTGTCAGCATTTACATCAAAATATTTCAGTATTGGCCCTGGATGTTTAGTAACCAGCTTCTTCACTTTGTCAAAAGTCTTTTCCATGTTTGCATCCCAACACCAAATAGCATCCTTCTGAAGCAATGCACGTCGCGGTGCTGTCTGTTGAGCGAAGCCCTGAGAGAATTTCGATAGATAGTTGAAAATGCCCAGTGATGTCTCCAGCTCCTTTCTGGAGGTTGGGGCCTTCATGTCGAGAAGTGCTGTAATCTTCTTTGGATCAGGCTTCAAGCCCTCTTGGTTAGTTGGTGTCCAAAATATGTCACTTCTTCTACCCCAATTTGCATTTTGTTTGGATTGAGTTTAAGATTTTTCTCATGACATCGATTGAGCAAAGCAGTAAGATTTCTGTCATGCTCTATTCGATCCTTTCCATAGACCAACAAATCATAAACTATTACTTCAACACCATGTAGACCAGCAATCAGTTCGTGTGATTTCTTTTGAAATATTTCCTGTGCAGACTCTATGCTGAAAGGTACCCTTGTGAAGTGCCATCGACCCGCAGGGGAGTTAAAGTAGTGAGGTAACTGCTGGCTTCATCAAGACGCAATTGTCAGTAACCAGACTGGGTATCTAATACACTGAACACTGTCGCTCCTACTAGCTTGTGTGCTATGTTCTCTATGGTGGGGAGTTTGTAGTGTTCTCTCATGATTACTTCATTCAAATCCCGTGGGTCAATGCATATGCGAATTGCACCTGTGTTCTTCTTCTCCACAACCATAGAACTGACCCATTCCGATAGTTCAGTGACCTTCTTTACTACTCCCAACTTCTCCATNAGAAAGGAAAAGGAAAGAATTGAGCAGATGAAAGAAAGTTCATTACAGGGGAAAAATATAATAAGAAAAGAAAAAGGGAAAATAGGCCGAGGAGACCAAAGGAAATCCTGAAGAGGGTACGACGAATGGTACAGCAAAAACTCACAAAAAAGATTGGGAGTAAGGAGAAGTTCAGAGATTGGGATTTAAGATTCTTTAAAAATAAATGGAAGGGAAAATAAAAATTGGTATCATCTACCAGTTTTTGGAAGGAAGAAGGGAAATACGCACATAGATAATAATAATTAGTGGGGAAAGGTGAACGTGTGTAAAGCATATGCTATTTGAACATTAATTAACTAACACTGAAATGTAATGTGTGTGTATAGTATAGAAAGATTGCAAGTAAAGAGGAATTAAAGATAGATTCATTAAAGTGAATAAAGATAGTAGGCCAGTTGATATGTATTAATAATGGAATGTGAAATGATTATGCTGGGTTACAAATAAGAAAAATATTAGTTGGGAAAGTTACCAGAGGAGAGAAAAAAAATGGAGGAAGAACTTGGAAATATGCCTAACAATATATATTTAAAGTTACAATATGAGACTAAAATATGGACGCTTAATGATGTATAAATATATAACAGTATTATGAGGATAGCTGGAAACTTGAATCCATCTTGCACTTCACCCCAAAAAGAGGTTTTTAGGGGGTGGGGGTTGGGGGACCAAATGGAATTTGTATAAAGGTATACCTTTAAAAGAAAAACTAGTAATATGGAAAATAGTTCTTTTTCTTCCTTTTTCTTTTGGAATATAATTATTAACCCCACTGATATTAAATGGGGTTTGCCAAAAGGTGGAAATATACCAAGTAAAATAGAGAATGGAAGGGAGATAAAAAGAGGGAAAGAGAGAGTGAGGGAAGGTGTGGAAAGAGGGGAGAGGAGAGGGAGAGAGCAAGGGGAAGTAGAGAAGAGAGAGATGGCAGAGGGAAGAAAGAAAGTAGGGAGGAGAGAGGGAGAGGAGAGGAGTTGAAGATGAAATAGACTATAATATGATGTATGGAAAGCAAAAGAGCAAATAAAAATTGAAGAGGCTTGATGGCAAGAGGAATTGATATATTATTGAATATTCAAAAAATGTTTGTTAAGATGTAGTGGTATACTTTGGATTATATTATATGTATGTTAAAAAAATAAAAAACTTTTGCCAAAAAAAAGGAGGCAGGCAGGGAAGTTAGGAAGGAAGATGAGAAGGAAAGAAGGAAAAAGAAAGAGAGGTTCTTTTTGTAGGGAGGCAGCAAAAGAAGCAGCATTCCTTGGCTGGGAAGCAGGCAAAGGCAGAAAAGGAAAGTAAATTTCAGACCCTGCAAACTGCCGCTCACTGGAAAGGAAGGAAGAAAAGGGGGAGCCCACAGCTTAAATCTTCAGGACTGGTTGGCATTTGATCTCTCCCATAGTAGCTTCCCTGCTCAATTACTAGGCTTCTTTAGTTCTGAAGCAGCCACGTGGAAGAGGAGGAGAGGGTTTCTTCCTGAGTTTTTAAAGTTGTGAGGTTTTTCTTCTTATTCTACAGTAAATGCAGTTCTCCAGCTCTGGGAACCTTGTTTCTGGTCTAGGAGCTTTTTCCTGTGGATTTGGGAGAAAAGAGGGTGGGAGTGAAGGACACAGTGACTGGGGCTTGCAAGGGTCACTTCTGTGATGATTTAACACAATATAAAGGCAGACAGCAAGGAGCTTGAACCATAAGCTTGTCTTTACTCAGCAGTAACCATCTTACAACAACTTCCTGCCCCCAGATCACATGACTAGAAATGTTAACTGTTTCCTAACATGTATAAAGAACTGGGCATAGCAATTGAACTTGAGATAAAAGATAAAGCATAGACATCATTACATCTTCCTCAGTGGTCCTCAATGTTCTCCCCCTTAGCAGCTGTGCAGGTGAGCATAAACCCTCAATGGGTGTTGCATGATAGTTTAATAGGCCTAAGTACACATCCTGCCCTGATGATGTGCTTTCTGTATAATGGATCTGACTATGCCAACATACTTCTCTGCTAGGCCATTGGCCTGTGGGTGATAAGGGCTTGTGGGTTTGTGCCTGATTCCCCATTCACGCAAGAAGCATTGGAATTCAGCNCTAAGCATGAGTGCAGGAGCGATGGCTGGACAAAGTGACAAGACTGGGTGAGAAGATTTAAAACCTACTGATAGAATAAGAGTGGAGTTGTTATTGGTAGAGAAGTCAAACGTAAAATAGCATAAATGGAGAAATTGGGAACAGCATGGTAAAATAAAGAGAAAAGGAAAAAAGATGGTGGTTTAAAAACATTAAAGCCCAAAGAGAACAGACTGTTTATCTAGCTTAGGAGGTGGAATTTTAAAAAGGACTGGATATTTCTGTAATATAGGGGGGGGGATCTTTTCTCTAGTTGAATTTGAAACATGGGAAGACTTTGCTTTAATAGTGGTTAATTGATAAACTCCAAACTCCATGGAAACCTTGTGAAGGAGCTGAAGGGGGACGGACCATGACTTAAAATTGAAGAAGAATACTGACCCACCCCACCACCCACCCCCGCTTCTCTACTACAATTTGTATTCTTTGCTCCTGTGGAGTTAAAGATTAAAGACTGCATTTAAGATTTAAGATATCTGACTGGGAAAAATACTAAGAAGTGGAGGCACCTATCAGAAGAAGAACCCTCATCAGGCAGAAACAAAGGAAACGAAATCAAGAGCTGAAAAAGCTTATAGCCAGAGTATAACAACAAAGACCAGGAAGCTTGCTTTCAACACGATTTCAATACGATTTTAAAAAAACCCTCCCCTGCTCCCTTGGTACAATTTGCATTTTGTGTCTCTGTGGAGTTAAAGGTTACATTTACATTTCTACCAGAAAGAACGCTTATCTGGCAGAAACAACAAAAATGAAAGAGCTGATTTTGATGGTGAGGACTTTGGAACTTTGAATCAGGCACAGGCTGTTTGACGACATTCTTTTACAATGAAATCTTTTCCCTTTTTTGTTTGAAGGGGAAAATTTGAACTGGACTGGAGTTGGTGGATAAGAAAAAAGTGGGAGTTTTGAAGTGTAAAGAATTGGGATACGATTTGAAGAAGGAAAATAGCAAATTAAAAATTGGGCAATATGGAGGGGTGGTATCTTAAAGAAATATGTGAAATGTTGAAAAATATGTGTGAATCATTTGGGTTGAGAAAGGACGATAGGCTGAATATTATGGAAAGAAGTGGAAATGAAAGCCAAAATATAGAAAAAGCAAGAGAAAGTAAAGGAAATAATAAGCAGATAAAGGATCTCATTGGATTCAATAGTGGCATAACGAAAAGAGAAAAGGGTGTCGCCTCCCCCCCCCCCCAAAAAAAAAAAACAGAAAGGAAAAGGAAAGAATTGAGCAGATGAAAGAAAGTTCATTANTTTCCTTCCAATAGTGCACACTGCCACTGTAAAATCCAAGGCTCTTTTCCAAACAAAGTTAACTGTTCTCTTTCCCAGTTCAGTGCAATCTTTTTTCCCC